CGCCCAGACGGCGGGTGCTGGGCGCCGGCACGCGAGGTCTCACCGACGTTTCAGGTGCGGCCTGCCCCCAGGTAGGTTCGCCCTCCCCTCGCCCGGTCTGCCGGCCTCCCTTTTGCTCTCGCGTCACCGTTTGAAAACAGAACTAAACCTTCTTCGCTCAAAACCAGCCTGATGGTATCGATAGCAGGAGAGGTTATAACGTAGCCCCGGGGCACGGTAACGATGCCGTTGCCATTAGCTGACCCAAGGCCTAAGGACGTGGCTTGGCTTCGGCTTGTTTTTCCTTTGGTTTGCGTCGTGTCCAGTGGCCAAATGACCATTGTCTGAGTCGTCCTAGCTGGCTCGTCGCAAAGCTGGCTCACGTCGCCTGAGTGACCTCTAACTTCTTGCTTTTAGCTTTGGTTTAGCTTTGTGCAGTTGGGCGGCCGTTACCCTGAAGAATCAGATCGTATAGGGCGAAGGTCTAGCAAAACTAAGTCGCCGTAAGATGACCGCGTTTGCAATTGCCAATCAGCGAGAAAGAAGAGGGGGCCGCCGGGAAGGCGGGCGGCTGGCAGAGGGTCTGCGTGCGACAGGGCTGTATTTTGAGTAGACTGTTGAAACATTGGTTGAACTGGCAAGAAATTTTTGCCTCTGCGTCTTAAGACGCGTCTCCTGTTTATCCTCGATAAAGGTTGAAACCTAAGTGCAAGGCAGCAGCTCCTGCGTCTGAAAGCCTTTGCTCTCCATCCCATACCCTGAGAAGTGCCATTTCTGGTGGCCTGCCACTCGTAAGACCACCAATAACCGATCGGGAGAAGGCGCTAAAGACAGGACGGGACTTGCATCGCGCCGCCGCGTCCTTCGGGCCAGCCTCCCACCGAAGCGGAGCAGCGCGAGGCTCTGAGCAGCTCAGAGCTTCCCGGCTAACGGGAACGCGAGAACAAAAGCGATTCCCACGCAAGGTCTTTATTCGTAGCACCAGGGCAGCGATGGATTAAACCACCTATTGGTTTTGTCAGTGAAAGAAAAAGCCCCAGCCCCTTTGTGGGCCTTAATCTGAATCTATTTTCAGGGTGGGTTTTTTTCCCCCACTTGTTAAAGCCCTGCAGGCTTTGCAAAGGATTACTGCTCTGGCGCTCCTCTCGCACCCCTGCAGCCCGAGCTCCAGTCCAGCGGACTCGCTGTCCGTCCCAGGTGACACAACCTGGGCTAAACGCAGCCTTTTTCGAACCCCCGCCGAGCAAAACAAGGGCAAAGCAGTGGAAGGCCAGCACCCCTCCCGTTAGGGCCGGAAACCAAGAGAATCAGATTTTTCTCAGATGAAGGACGAGGAAAGGATCGGCACTTCTTTCCGAGGCTTGGCTGTACTTTTACGTGCTTATAGCAGCTCTTTGGCTTGCGCTGGAGCTCGTATCCTGGCGTGGAGGTGGGCGCTGGACAGTGCAAAAGGGCAGGAGAATAATTTGCGCTTCACTTGAATTACCTAGCGACGTAGCCTCAGCTGTAAAGGCTCGCGTACTCGCAGCGAAGGAGCTCGCCCCGGGGCCGC